CCTAACATATTTCTAGATTCCATTCTTTTAAATCTGCTGCTTATTTCTTAACTTTTTGTGAGTTGTGTTTGTTTTTTATGTTTTTATTTTAGTTACAAAAGCCGTTTTTCAAACATTTAAATTAGAATCTGTGTTAAAAGTGATTATTGATTATAGACTCCGTCTAAAAAGAAAGAGGGAATTAGGATTAGCTGTAAAAGTATTATATTATTAAGTTAAACTCTACCCAATTCACCCATTGCAAGCGGTGACGTTTTTGTTTTGACTACACGCCTGACCTTCCTCCTGCTGCTGATGCCACAGCAGAGGAGACTGGCTCTAAAATGTGCTCCAATTCATATTGACTTAATTTGAAAAATGCTGCAATTATTTTAAATTAGTAGAATAGATGCTGAGATAAATAAGTGTAAAAGGGAAAGTCCATAAAGTGAAACCCAAGGACGCATAGATAATTAATCACACAGTACAAAAGTACATAATACATATTTTAAAGTTTAAAGATTTTTGAGATTTGAGTCTTGTTTTTTATATTAAGAGTTTCTGGTCTTAAAAATGTCATCATTAGTAAGATAATAAGTCATCTTTATTTACATAGCGCATGTTGAAAAACCCAGAGCGCTCCAAAATTGTTTTGACTTTAGAGAGAAAAACAATCTCATTCACAATCTCTGTTGTTTTTAATTTGACTATAAGGTTGTTTTCCAGAACCAAGGGCACACACTGTACAGGGCCACTGGACAGCAGGAGTGGACACTGAGGGATCAGAACAGTGGCCCAGAGTAGACACCATCCAACCAGCCGCAGATCGTAAAGGCGACATAGCTACCTCCGTGTGCCCCTCCCCCACTACAGACCGATGGTCGTAAGTGGCAGTGAGACCGGGGCCACAAAGTGAGGTTTTCTGTAGGCAGTGGTGGGTGAGTTGTTTTGCAATCTGGAAGTGTGCCCACTTTGCTTGTTTACATCGAGCCAGTGTGACCTTTGACACCTACAGGTGGTTCGAGGAGTCTGGAGACACAACCCCAAAATTCACACCCTACACACACACACACACACACACACACACATTCACATTTACATATAGATACATGAAAAAGCAGAACATGAGAAAAAAGCATTTTAAAAGTTTACTCCAATGTAAACACATTTTTAATTGTCTATCACTTGAATCAGTATTTTTTGAGACCAGAAATGTTCATTTGAATTCTATATTGTCATGGACTTAATTGACCTCTGTCCTGACACTTTTGATTTGTTGATTTTGTACTGTGTGAAGTAATTACATTGATTAGGATTAGAATCAAAGTGACTTAACCATAGAGAGTAACTATTGCATAACAAGCTGTGTACAGGAACTGAGACACTGCACCATTGACCAGAAGTGCATCGCAAATGACCTGATGTGCTTCAAGTGAAAAGACTGTATCTGGAGATCCGATGTCCAACTGGAGAGACCAGAGCAACCCAAGTGCCTGAGTGCATCTGGAGAGACCAAAACCATGGCTTGGACCCTACTGATGTCCAAGATGACATCTCTCGAAATATGACCTGACCTGATGACGACTGAGACTCACCCTCAGGGGACCTGAGGACCTGAGAGAGAAAAAACTGGGGAGTGATGTTTATATTATTGAAATCATGCCATTGATGAGTGCTAAATGAGACAGATACTCATGATTCTTCTTTTGTTTTTGTTTGTCCCTAGCTTCTGAACATCTGATGATCTATTGGACACAGCGTTTTGCAGAACAAGAACCAGCCAATGAAAAACCGTCTATTGCCGATGCTATTGCTACAACCAAAACCACAACTGTGACCAAATGCAATATACATGTTAAGTATTCAGACATCTGACAGACAAAAACTTTGAATTTTTAGTCTGGGAGACTGAGCAACAGTTAAAATGTTTTAAAGTGATAAAGTATGAGTATTGTAGCGTTTTAGTAGATGTTAAATAGTAGTAAAAAAGTAGAATTTGACTTCCTTTGTTGTTCATAAACACATTTCCACGTAAGAGTTAAAATAGTACCATACAATGTTATCCTTCTGATAGAGCAGCTAAAATATTAGAATCAGAATAATGTTACAGCCATTAAAAGTGACAGAAGTCACAAATTAGAAATATGCCTTGGCTCAAGCTGCAACCGAGCTTTAGAGTCACAATAGTGTAAAAATAGAATTAGATAAATGCATCAACCATAGATGCTTTCAAAAATAGAGATTATTTGTAGCCAGTGCTAATATCAAATGGTAAAGGGACCATTTCACAAGCTTTTACTTCAAAAGTAGATAAAGTTACTTACAGTTTATGTACAGTTTTATTAGATACTTGCCAAATTCACTTGTTTTCAAACATCTGTGAATGTTGACAATACAAAAAGTCCATATGAGTGTAGTCTAGATTAATGCCTAGATCAATGAGATAGATTACAACCAACAGAGATTTAAAAGCATTTTGATGTATTTGTGTATAGCACAAAAACAAAATAGTAGATATTTTTGAGAAGTTTAAAAGCTGTCGATTCACCAGCACAGATTAGAGAATCGAACACCATTGTAGAATAACTGACCCCAAACCTGCTAAAATAGATTAGCTCTTGTAAGCATAATACTAATTTGATTACTGATGTACATTCATCCCAAACTGCCTGAGAGGAGGAAGTGACAGCACTTCCTGGTTCAACAAATGTATTTGGAAAACTGACCGCCAAAATAAATAAACAGTTTTATTCCTGAGAATGTAGAATAGACATAGAGCAAAACCCCACTGGCACTAAGCCACTGATAATGAGAGTATAATACAGTATAGAGAGATTTATTAGATTAAAATGTATGTTTAAGAATATGGCTCAATAGAAGCAAATATGCAAACACATTTGTGAATAGATTAGAATAGTTTTAAACTATAGTGAATCATGAAAGTAAAGTACACAGTCTAAGATTGAAAAGTGATAATAATAAGTGAAGTGTAGTGTAAACAATTAGCATTAGAATAAAAGTATAGAGTAATAAAAGTGAAATTAGCTTCTAAATTGAGACTCAGCTCGTTTTTGTCTGTGTTTTGACTGAATCTGCTGAGTTCTTGTGTGCCCAATAGTGTTTGTTTGTTTTTATTTTTGATTTGTTTTTGTTTGTTTATTTTTTCCCAGGATAGAGGATAAAATCCACTGATATTGATTTGATGATTGTGAGTTTAATGCATACATTTTCTTTGTTTTTAATAATTTTTGTAAGTTTTTTTGGGGATTTTTTTTCTTTCTCTTTTTCCACTTTATTGATTGATCAAATTGAGTGATCACATGTGATTATGTGATCAAAGGGGAGGGTGTTAGTATTAGATAGCGATATGGCCTACGTGCAGAACTGTACAAGGACTCTGATTATTTTGACTATGATGTGACTGTCTCTGTGTGACACGTACGTCTTTCGATGTGTGACGTGACAATGACTATATAAACTGTGTACTGCCTTTATTCTGTCTGAGAGAAAGAAACAAACGAAACAACTGTAACTTGAGAGAAACTTAAATAAACTTCCAGAGTTTGGCGCACCACGATCCGTCTCTGTCTGCTAAATCCCTGACAATATATTTTGTTGCAGTGCGTTGCTTTTGTACCATTTCATCAATGATAGTTGTACAGCTTACAAGAAGTTGCACTCATGCTAATGTTTGCATCAGTGGTAGCATCTTCTTTCCTCACGAAAACGTCTTTACAGGATGGTCCAAAAGTTGGCTCTTGGCCAAAAGCTCCGTTCCAGATGTGTGTCAATGCTGAGGGGAGTGATTTTTTTGGACCACTCTGGTTTACTCGCTGCGAATTTTCATTTGTTTAAATGAATGGGGCTCGTGCCGGCTGACGCATGCGCAGATGCGTTTTTTCACATTTTCCAGCCCCCGCGGTCATTTTGAATCACTCCATGGGAGCCCAATTGGCCCATTGGCTAGAACGGCAGAGATAGGCGTGACTACGTCCGTTAATATATACAGTCTATGGTTTGCATATAGATCGCAAATACAACTAGATGGCTCTGTGGAATGAGTGCGTAGGGGAAATGAGAAGCCTGTGAGCGAGTTGGGGGGCAGTGCAAAACATTCAAACCTTGCAGAAACGGGTATAGCTCCTTTAACACAAGTTCACAGTGTCATGCAGCCAACTTCATATCCACCAATAAGGGCCTGCTATAACTCATTGTAAAGCTCAGAGCCTCGAATCTAGTCACTGACTTTGGTTTACCATCCCGACATTTGTGGTGCGTAATGCTCTGTATATTTGCTTATCCATAGTCTGGTGGATAAGCAGAAACCCTTTTGACCTTGTGTTTTTGCCTAGTTGGTGGCCAAAAATACCTTGGACAAATTTCAAGTGTCTTTCCCTTATTAAGTTCCACATCTACATATTGTGTAAAGTCTGCGTAAATCCAATTTAAAGGGATTTCCTCAGTTCCTGGGTGCATTGTGCTGTGACTTTAGAAGACTTATTTTGAAAGTGTGAGGCTTGTTTTGCACTTCCTGATGCCAGTTAAAATGTCATATATCAGCTCAAAATGAACCATGAATCAAAAAAAAACAAAAAAAGCGTTTACAATCCAGGTTGGCTTATAGAAAGGTTAGTGGCCCTTTTACGGAAAGGTTTGGATACCCCAATATTGAAAGCATTCACATTTTACACATTTAAATTTCAACATGGAGTCATTGATGAGAACTGTTGTTGGGATCATTGCTTTGCTCTGTTCAATGTTTCCTCACGGCTTGCCCCATCTGGTTAGAAGAACTTTAATCACATTTTAATGACTTGAGTAAGCGTTTCTTCTGCTGGCTCTATACCTGTTTCCCCAAATGCTCTCCACAACAGGCATCTGGAGCCAAGGGCAATGAAACGCCGTTTGTATGACCTTTTATTTGCGCATCTGATATAGCTTTTGGCCCACACAGCTCCAATGTGTGAGCAAAGTATTTCCAAAACAACAGACGAACAAAGTGTGCAAAGACTTCGATGTGGTCAGCTGCAACAGAGGAAAGGCATGAAACAATTTATCATAAATGAGATGTGCTCCATTCATTCAATAGTATTAGTGTGCTGACTTTTGTGTGAACTCTACTATATTAAATGAAGCATGTTCTCTCCTGCGGGGCTGAGGACTGAGAACACGTGAAGATATTATATACTCTTGGCATATGTAAATCTGTCTGTATACTATACTTCGTCATGTGCAACCTTAGATGACTTTGTACGTGCTGTTTTTGATCAAAGATGACGCAGAAAGATGACACAGTAAAAAGGGTTCCATTTAGTACGGGTGGTGCTAGTTTTTGATTGCAAACAAGAATCACCTAATTAATAAAATAACTATAGTATTTAGTTTATAATTTGTATCATCTCTGAAATGAAATTGCATTGATTACAACTGCATCCAACATGTTTTAAATGCCTTGCAGTGAGGCTTTTAACTTTCCCACCAGTAACAACCAGATGTTTTAGGTTGATGAGGACCATAATACATATAAACCATAGACTGTAAATATTAACGGACGTAGTCACACCTATCTCCGCCGTTCAAACAAATGGGCCAAAAAGTGTGCTATATTGAAGCTATCCAAAATGGCAGCAAATGGTCCCACCCACAAGAAAATTGTGAAAAAACGCATCTGCACATGCGTCAGCCGGCGCAAAAAAATTCACAGCAACTAAACTAGAGTGGTCCAAAGAAATTCAACCCCCTCAGCATTGACACACATGTGGAACAGAGCTTTGGGCTAAGAGCCAACTTTTGGACCATCCTGTAAAGATGTTTTCGAGAGGTGAGAAGATGCTATATGTTAGCATTGGCTAATTCTTATTCCGGGTCCACCCCCATCGGCCCGGGGTGGTATAGTAAGCATGTCAGCGCACGTCATTTTGACCCGCCCCCACTGATAGAAACACACAAGCTTTTGGTTTGATACAACCAATAAATATTGTTGAAGATTATTATTTTACCTTTTTTATCACAGACATTAGTTTGGATGAGACTATATCAGAATCAGAATAATTTTTATTGCCACGTAAGTAACAGGAGGTCACAGACTAGGAAATTGCTTTGGCTCAGTGCAACAGACAGAAAGAGATAATAAAAATAAGAATAAAAAACACTTCTAAAGAATAAATTTAAATTTAAAATAGAGTTACAGTTACTATTTATAATATACAAGTGCACATGGTGCACACAATGTAAGGTGACAGCAGTACAGTGAAGTAAAGTGACGTATGATGGGCAGTAAAGTGACTTTATAAAGGGCGGGGGGACAGGTTAAGAAGTGTTCAAGAGTCCAACAGCAGAGGGGAAGAAACTGTTCTTGTGGCGGGAGGTACTAGTCCTGATGGACCGCAGCCTCCTGCCTGAGGGGAGTGGTTGGAATAGTCCATGTGCAGGGTGAGAGGGGTCGGCTGTGATACGACCAGCCCGGCCTCGAGCTCGGGCGACATATATAGTTGGGCAATGCTAACCCACTAGCTTAATGAAGCCCTATAGGGAAGTGCGGACAAAGTTTTTCTCCTTCTTGCTCTGACTCCTATTGACTTCCATTAAAAAGTAAAGTCATCTATCTCAGTTACGGTTTGTGTCACACTCACTATTTTGGGGTTAAAGCAATCTGCGGTTTAATGCTCTCTACAATCCTCGTGTCTGTATTTATTTTACCGAGAGAATAAGCTTTTACCGTGATAATTACTTTCTTAATAACTAGTTCCTGGGGCGACAGTGGCTCAGTTGGTAGAGCATTGATGACAGAGAAACCATCAGCGAGGGACTGGTGCTTTGAGGATTGAGCAAGGATTGACCAAATAAACGCCTTCATTTGTTGGGAAAGTGCAGCTTGCCTTAGCAACCATATAGCAACACGTCTTTGGGATTAATCCAACTGCTAAATTTCTGTGAACAATGGTTTATCTGCTCGTCTTTATTTGCCAAGAAAGAATCAACAAACCGTAAAAGTCATGTAAACTACCCACAAATCAGACGCAAGATCGTTTGCTTCAAACATGTGAAGTTAAAATAAGGGTTAATTCGCCAAACCCCTTCTAAATGGACCGTCTTGTCTATCTAATAATTGCAATAGTATTCTTTTCCACCATTAATCATTTCTGTAGGTGTCCAGCATGACATACTAAAAGTCCTGTTTGGGCAAAGGTTTCATTTTCATCAATTGAAGATGTGAATAAACAAATTAGCAGGGGAGTTTGCACGTTCTCCCCATGTCTGTGTAGGTTTCCTCTGGTTGTACAATAGTCTCTGAAGCATTGCCTCCAACCACACACCCAATCTCTCAAAAGTAATTCTGTAATCTCAGTGGGACTTTCCTGGTTAAATAAAGGTCAATAATTATAGTGCCCAAAAAGTATGTTGCTCATATATATGTACAATTAATTTTCAAAAGAACTTTGAAAACTGGCCTCTAAAGCCTAAACGTGACATCCCACACCAATTGGATGGTTTTGTGTAGAAACTAAACAATCTAAAGACGCACTCCTCCAAATGGACCATCTGTATTTATCCAATGCTCTACTCAGACTGAGTACCAGACATTTTTGTGAATGAAATGAAGTGATGGGGGATTTTTGGCAGTGAGACGAGGACATTCAGCTCTCACTGAGCCTCTGTACCAGTCTGAGATCAGGTAACCCCAGCACTCTTTCCCCCCAGCCCAAGGTCTTTTAAGGCAACAGTAGAAGTTACATTTATCCTCTACATTTCAACACCTAATCCCAGAGCTAAGCAACGTTGAATTAGACAGGAATTTGGTTTATTTTATTTTTATTCTTTAAGTACAAAGCCTTACTTTATTAAACATGTATCACAGCAAGAATAGTTTCTGTCCTTGAGATAAGCCGTCGCTTGTTTCAGGTTTAAACAAATATGTCTCTTAAATGTATGATTATATGAAACAAAGACTTTTCAAACCATATACATAACTTAGGAAGGGAAATAAAAAACGAAAACCACACAATAGAACTTTTTTTTAATCTGGTGTACCTAACTTACCTAATATGTTTTGTAACTTCCAATAGAAAAAAAACCTCTTTTTCACTTTTGTGTTTTGAAAAGGTGATTGAAAGATGTGACGGGGGCCAAAGATACATGCACTGATACTGTTTTGAGAGCTAGCAAGATGGCTTTCATTAAATTTACATTTTTGTGGTTTCAAAATTAGGCACCCCAGCTTTAATGTCATATTGCGTGCAAAGAAAACAGCTTAATGCCAACGAAACGTGTATGTTTGCAATGTGTTAGTTTGGCTTGTAATCGCCATGGAAATGATTGTGTTTCTGAACAACTTCAAGCAGCGCATTCTTTCAAATTAGAGTCTTTATTCACTAGAGCAAAGTCCAGGATGGAAAAATTATGAATATTTGAGTAAAAAAAGTAAAC